AGCAGTTAGGCAACATAATATACTACCAATGATATCAATGGATGGAAAAAACCATGGGGATGAATTCGATTGGTGAAAAGTCAACATATTAGGTAGAAGAAACTTCAAGAATGCCAGAGAATCTCTAGAAGCATGGGATTCAAATCAACTATCAATAAACAGACACATCGAAATCGATCTAATCTATAAAATCATATGGAAGAAATCAGTGAGTCACTAGGCCAGAGCTCAACCAATAAAATCAGTCACGGTGAGTACATTGACAAATAAAAACAACAAGACTTACGGAGATAGCTAATTACGGACATGGTCGTTGGAATGAAGCGATACAACACTTGTGGACTGACTGGAAAGCTCACTTCTGCATGAGGTAGATGCTGAAAATATTGCTCAGAAAACTCAACACTACCAATTTTGGAAACCTTTATTTATCAGTTATGAAGTGACTTTTGACTGACGTAACGTTCAAATTTGTCATTCGCTCTTTACCACAATTAATCAAGATCGGCTCTACATGCAAGAATATTACATCAAACAAAACACTTACATATATAAACATGAGAAAATTCTGCCATCGTATTCACACACTCCATGCATCCATACGCCTTCAAGGTCACTGTCCGTATGTAGTGCTCAAGTTGATCAAAGCTGAGAGCTATTCATCAGTATTAATCAATACATGCCCCCAAATGCCCTGGTACAGCCAAGGGTGAGGAGAGTCAGCTCTCCCTCTCGAAATGCTCTCACATGGCCACGTGTATGCCGCCATTACCAAGAAAGTCCTACTCACTACCTTCTCGCGGCACCGGTGTTGTTTACAGAATTGAGAGGAGTAAGAGCGAATGTCCGGCACTTTAACCGGTTTGGTGGGTACGGATGATACACCTAGGGAAGTTGGAAACCCCTGATTCCAAACCAATGGTGTACACGGACTCCAGGATCCTGAAGGAATAAATGGATTATGAACCTATTGTTGGTCACCTGCTACCACGGGACTCTATCTCCTTGCGTTGCCCCACTACCGTGTGGATTAGACCTCGAGGTCAAAGGTTCGGGGAGTGGGGCTGCCTAAGATACCTATTTGATTCGGTCTGGGCACTCGAGAAGTATTCCAGCCTTAACACAAATCGAATGATTTGTGTGGCGCATATGTATTTGGTGCCTCCTTGTACCAATATCTATGTGTTCAAATAAAATTAAAATAAAAAGTGGCGCATATATCTTTGTTGCCTCATTGTACCAATGTTTGTGTTTAAATGAATAATTCAATACATATTAAATTTTGATTGGAATTGCGCCAATTAATCAGTCTCTTGTCCACCTGTCACTAATACTGACACTGATTTCGAAGTATTTTTCTTAATGTAAGGTGATGTTTATTTGTTCGTTTGTTTCACATAGGTACATGATAACCCTGTCGCCAGTGATGATCAAGTTCCTGAAATGTTTACGGTAACCGCTATGTATGATTATGAAGCCGGTAAGCAATTCTGATCCATTTGTCTGAATATATATATAGTCATTATAAGTCGTGTTAAACGTCAGTTGTTGACAGTATAGACTCTTGTCCTCATTTATTTACATTTACTTGTTACTCATCTATACAGAATATTTATAGATTTAAGAAGAAACTATTGTTTACTTATCGATTATAAATCATGTATCTTTCACTAGCTTGAAGTTTGTACGATTACTTATACATAAGCTAATATGATCCATCTATCATCCCTTTCCAGGACCCAAATTGTTAGATAGCTACATTGTCTGTCTTAACCAGTGACAATATTTGTTTCATTCTAAGGGGGGGGGGAAGTGTTTTACTCATAAATATTATACTTGTTGATCACTGCTTAGTTGTTGAAGTTCCTGTAGATCTCCAAATCATAAATCAGTTAATTAATGAATCGTAGCTAATTTCAATATTATTCATTAGTAAAAATGAAAAAAATTTCATTTGTTTAGCATGATAATGCTTCTTTTTTGCTTCAACTTTTTCTGAGCAAATATCTTATTGACCAACCTAAGATATCTATACATAAGTTGGAGGGCTCTCTCTGTGTGTACTAAGCGTGGTTTAATCGTACAGCTTTCACTGATTGCCTTTCTAGACAACAATATCATCAGTAGTGTACAAGATCCAGATAAAGAGAATTAACCTATGAAATCTTCTTGATAAGTAATAGACTAACACCTTGCTTTTGTTAAAAATTGAAATCCGAGACCCATTAGTTTGCAGGTATAATTCCAATCACTTTGCGACCCCGCTTGACAATCTCCCATTGACTTCAGTAGTTAATTGCCTTGCACACTCTGATGTGATTGAATTCTACTTATCACAACTTCTCTCCGGAACTCTTAAAATTTCGTCCTTTGGGTACTGGTGAGCACATAGTTATTACTCCTGTAGGGAGGCCTAGAGGTTAGGTGCTTGCTGCGAGACTTGGATTCAATCCCTGGTGCATTTTCAATGGTTGTCTAGTTTAAATCAGTCCATAATGTAAAACTACAAAACTCAATTTATACAAACCCCCTCTTTGTTAATAACAATCAATGATTGGTAATTTAGGTGATAAAATCGAAAGTACCAGTCAACACTCAGCGAAAAAAAACACTTAAAGTTGACTAATCCGATTTGGTCGGATGGATAGAAGTTACCTCAAATGATAAGGAAATATTGCTTAGTTTAAATTATGGACTGATCTTAGCTAGACGACTATTGGAAACCTGACAGCACTGAAAGACCATTTCTTTATAGTAAGATACTCCCCAGTAATGCGTATCAAGCCAAGGATCTTCAGTCATGCTCGAAGACACTTCACGTATGTATTTGTCTGACAATCATCTAAGGAAATATAGGAAAGGGAGTTATTCGAAAAATGTTGGTTACTCATAAGTAGTATGGTTGAAGTTATACGACTTTCACACTTCAATTTTGATAGTTAAAATTCGAAATTTATCTAACGAGAAGTATACTACTTCCCAACCTCATTCAATCATTTCTCATTGATACTTATTTAACAATTTACTTATAATTGTTTATCTATATTCCTTTCAAATTTCTTTCTTTCTTTCTTTGTACATGAAGCTGAAAATGATGAATTGACATTTAAAGCTGGTGAAATAATTACAGAGGTTGAAAAAATCGATGCAGGCTGGTGGAAAGGTGTTTGTCGTAATAAAGTTGGTCTATTTCCTGCTAACTATGTCAAATTAGAATGATTAACGATAAAGTTAAGGAATGACTAATGAAATTCGTTAATAATTGAATCTTAATTGTCCACGATTTCTGTTGCTGTTGTTGTTCGAATCCAGATAGACAAACCATCAGAAAACACTCAATACATTGAATTCATTTTCAGCATTACATTTTTGATATTCTGTGCTCAATTTCCAGGAATCTGTGAAGCGAATTTTATATTCTACAAAACATTCAACATAAGTTGATATCAGCTGTGTATGTTAGATGTTCTGGAATTCTCTCTCAATTGTCATAGATACAATTCTTATTTGATTTAATGGAAGTTTTCTTCTTTTTTTTAAAGATTTTGTTCAGTTTTTTATGATTTGTTTTTGCTATCCATAACTTGTAACCATGACCTTTCTATAGTGATTTTTGTGCATGGATGATTTTGATTTTCCATGTTTTGTTTCTTTGAATAAGTGTGTAACTTTTGCCTAGTGTTCTTTTTTTCCAGAAATATATTTTGCCTACTGATAATATAAATAAGTAGTTTTCATTGTTGAGTTAGTTTTTTTTCTATCAAGAACTTTTAGCGAAAGCTTACCACATTCAGCGATTCTCAAAGTAATCTTGTCAAAGTAAAACTAATTTTTAGCTAATCCGAATACAGGATTGTGTCAAGGAACAATTTATTACATGAAATCCCGAAAAAAAACAATTAAGATTTAGGGTCAGGACGCGGGGTTAACAGTAGGGAATGAAATTTAGAATTAGGGTTAGGATTAGTAAAAATATACTATAGTGATTTCTTTAGATGATTTCAATTGTCACTTTTAGAATAACCAGTCAGGAATATCTATTCAGAATGCAAATTTCATGTAGGTCCTAAAATATTTTAAGAAATGGTGAACTGTCATAGTATTAGTAGATTTATTATCAATAATGAACTGATTAGTGCTAACTAATCGATAATTAAGGCTACAAATCGTAGTAATGTAAGCCTGATAGACATTGGTTTTTAACGTTAGAGGACCTTATATATTAAGTCTGACTTCCTACACTCAAACTCCTAGATTCTAACTCCCAACACCAATACTCATGATCTTAATCCTAAAATACCAATCTTAACAGTTCATTCCGTAAAGGAACCGTTATCCAATCCTTTAGAAGTACGGAATATTGTGAACTGCAGAGACCTATCTGCAACAACGTTTTAGATTCGTACGTTGGTTAACTTCATTTTGACTGGTCGCTCAATGCCATCAGTGCAGTATAGTCTCATACTCAGAAGAAACAACTATCTAGTACTTCATGGTTTTCCATGGTGATGTAAACTACAAAATTTAACACAAACATCGTCCAGTAAAAATTTCAAAAATGCGGCTGGTAAACTCCTTTCTAAACCCACTTTTCCTCATATCGAAACAATATCGTCGATAGATTTTTTGTTGGGACGGCTTCCTAGAACTATGATGGAGCCTTCAAAGGCCCTAAAGCAACCGAACAGTTCCCATCTAATCAGAACGTGATGGAGTTTCCTAGAATACCAATTTGGTATGTTTCTATTGGACAGTAGCACAGCATTACCTCTTTGCGAATTGGCTAAATTAAAATGTTGATATGACATGTTGATATTTATAAATACCCATGATTTTTTGTACATTTTGATTCCTGCCCAACAAACTATTCTTCAGCTTTCTATTTTACAACTGTAGGGTTCTATACGTTCGATATGCATTAGTTGCATACCGTACTCTGTGTTAATCACATAACGAACTTTAACAGTTTTCTTGGTATAGAAAACAAAACAAAATGGAATTTATAAACAAGTAAGCAATTTGTTTATAATTTTCTTTTCATCATTAATTACCAAATACTGATTAGATAGAATTTTACAACGGACTCATGTGTTTTTCTTTGTTTTTAGTGAATGAACAGAACAAATACAAAATCCATATTCCTTGATCATGTAATCAAATCACATTGTTCACATATAGATTTATTTGGATAATTTTGTATACATATTGTTTCTAGGCAACTTTATTTTCATGTATATACAAATTGAACATAAAAGGGGGACAATTTAGAAGATATATTTTGGATTGGTTATATTATACATTTCCTAGTGAATGAAACTATGTAAATCTGTTGATCTGGTAGGGTTGAAGATCATATATAACACTTTAAGTTGTTACTTTCTGATACTACTACTAGTACTACTACTAATAATAGTAAGTAGTATATTAGCAACATTAAAATTTAACTGTATTTCTATGTGCATCATTCAATAAGATGTATTAAACATGGTGGAGATATCATATCTGTATTATTATGTTTATGTTTATGAAAACATTCTAACCAATTTGTTGTATGCCATGGCCATGTTGATAGAATCCAATTGGTTGGATCAATACAATTTACCGGTTGTTTTATTGATTTCTGATGATGATTAGACCATTGATCAATAAAATTTTTTATCATTTTTACAATTTGATTATTCCATAAATCAATAAACCATAATTCAGAATTACTGAGATCATCATGAAATGGTAAAGATGAAAATATTAATGGATTTATCAAATGAAATTGATGCGTATCTTCTAATGTGGTTTCATGATAATGATTATGCAATTCTATTATGAATTGATTTAAATAATTGAGAACCTGTGAGAAAAATTAAAAAAACACAACTTTTTTCATCAGTATAGAGGTTGTGGAGATTATTAATTTCTTTGATCGAGATCATGAACCAATTGATGTTAGACTACCGTTAGAAACCTAGAAGCACTGGACGGCCGTTTCGTCCTACTGTGCGACTCCTCAGTAGTTCGCATTCACGGAGCTAATCCGTGTCGGATAGAAACAGGTGTCTTCCTCAGTACAATGGAAGTTGGTCGCGCAATCCCGTGGATTAGTTGATGTTAGACACCATCATCACTGGACGCCGGCTCAGTGGTCCAGTAGGTTAAGCGTTCGTGCGCGAGACCGAAGGTCCTGGGTTCGAGTCCCTTGAGCGGGATTGTGGATGCGCACTGCTGAGCAGTCCCACAATAGGGCGAGACGGGCGTCCAGTGCTTCCAGGCATCATCAAATTCTGTTCAATGGTTACGTAATCTATTTTACCAGTTGTTGTTTTTTTAATTCCATGAATCTTATGTGAACTCTTTATTACCTCTAAGATTATTATTATTATTACATAATTTATCTTATCTGTCTTTGAACTCCACTACCAATATCAGGACTTATCACAGAAGCAGTGATGCAGAGGTTAGAATCGTCGGTTTTACCAGTGATGAAGCCAAAAATTTGGATTCATTATGTGGACGACACATTCGTCATCATCAAAAAGAAAAACACTTACAGTCTGATCAACAAAGTCTTCTCACAATGGAACAAGGATCGAACAACAAACTACCATTCTTGGACGTACTGATTACTAGAACCAACACAGGAAAACTGGAAACTTAAGTACATCCGAAGCCGGCCAACACAAATCATATTCTCAACTACAATAGCAACAACTAAAGAGCTCACAAAATCAACTGCGTACAAACTTTGTTCAGAAAGACGAGAACACACAACACACTTGTAGCACGGAAAAATGAAGAACAATACCTGAAAACCATCCTTCAAAAGAACGGCTACACAATTGAATTCAGTATAAAATACCAGCCGCAAGCATCATCGGGAACAAAGTCAAGTACAGAAACCAACAAAAGGATCACCCTGTCGCACATAAAATGTATATCAGGAACGACAACGAGACTGTTGGAAACCTTTGAAAAAGATGTTGAATACAAACTGACCAAATCCCTACAATCAATCCTATAGCCAATTAATAGATGAAATGACCAAAGAAGACAAACCAAACATCATCTACGAAGTAAATTGTGCCAACTGCAAAAAACACTACATCGGACAAAGCGGACGTCCTCTTCATCTTCGACTGAATGAACATCAAGTAGCGGTTAAACGCCATGAGACATCCTCCCTTATATCAATGCATGTAGACAACTGCGGACACATATTAGACTGAACAAATGTAGAGGTTTCGGAGAGAGGTAGTTTCAATAACACTGGAGAATTTTTAGAAGTTTTGCACTCAGGTCAATCGGGAATCAACAAGCACATTGGAATCGATACAGTCTATCAACCAATCAGGAAAAATATGAACAAACATGGGAACGAAAATCAAACCAACCGGAGATACAACCAATTCAGATAAGTAAACCATGACAGGTTAAAGGTCAACAAGAACCAATCGACATCGAGGTGTACAGGACAAGCTGTGAACCACATGTGGAGAAATTCGAACACTTCACTTCTACCTGAAGTTTATGCTGATGATGTCGTTGAGAAGAACGATGAACATACCATCCAGCTCAAAGAACGAAACTCAACTTAAAACAACCTAACTATTACATCACCTATCCCTAATGTTTTCTTGATTGTATCACCAAATAACCTATGACCTGTTCTTGCACATATATATATATATATATATATATATATATATATATATATATATATATATATATATATATATATATACAGTTATTATTGATAACCCTTTCCACTCCAATTCTTTATATTCACTTATGTTAATTGTTCTACACCATATCTTACCTCAATGTGAAATTCTAATACAAATTTGGTTGTGAGCAGCCTATAAGAACCTAACGAAATATTATCTTGTATCAATGTTCGTTGTGGTTTTTTATTGAAATTCACTTGAATTGTCAGCCATTTTCAAATATTAAAATCATATTGAATCATTATTGGTTGTAAGTGAATGTAGATTACCGGTTTGGAATAGTTCATCATGAAACTTTGTTAATATTAGACCTAATCAATGAAACCATACTTATTCAACTTTCTAACCTCAGTCTTTTCAAGATATTGTACAATGATCATCCAGTATTATTAATAAAATCTAATGTAAATAATTCGAAACTCTAAGCAAAGGTGAATGGTGGCTAACAGTGGGATCCAGAACCCGGGTTTCGTCCTATTTGAAACTCGTTAGTTGGATGTATCTGCATCGACACTTGGTTCGAGTCCCAGAGAGTGGACTTGAACTCTGGGATGAAGTTATATCCAGCTGATGGGTTCCAAATATGACGAAACACGTGTCCTGGTTTCCACTGCTAACCAACATCCATCTTTGTTTATAAAGCTCGTGACTTAGGACAATATCGAAGCAGTTTGCACAGGATGCATAAATACCAATAAGAGACTGATCAATTGCAAACCTAAACAACAATGGGACGATTCAAGTAAACAATACCAAATGAATTTGAAATTGCTTTCGTCAAATAGGATATTCTACTTATTAGTAGTATAAATTTATAAACCAAACGTTAGAAAGCTGGCTGTTTAATTCTCATTATCACTGTTTACGATTTCGACTGATATTCCTCTTATTGGCATATATGTATCCTGTGCAGATTGCCTCGATATTGCCTGAAGTCACACGTATTAAAAGCAAAGATGAATGGTTGCTAGCAATGGAGTCCAAGACATTCGTTTCGTCCTATTTTGAACTCGTCAGTAGAGATGTACCTGCATTCCAAAGTTAATATTTACTAGACTCAGTAGCTAGGTGGATAACACGATGGCATTTGAAGCGAATAGTATTAGGTACGAGTCCAGAAGTGAACATTAACTTTGGAATACAAGTACATCTAACTGACAAGTTCCAAGCAAAACGAAACGCACAATCTGGATCCTACTGTGTTAACCATTAATCATCTTTGTTTATAAACGTTTGAAAAGAAGGTTTTTTGTTTTCAATTAAAAGTACCTACCTGTTGAATCCATTTAATAAGATCTTCATAATATTTCAATTGATTATGAAATTTATCTAAATATTCTTGATCCATTTGATTCAATAATGAAGATGATGATAATTTTTCATTGAATTCATTAACTAATGAATGAACAAGTTGTTTCTTTAAATCACCTATCATATAAGATTGTTTAAATGAATAGTCTATTTCAATCCAACAAATTAATTCATTGAAACATTGTACAGATTTATATATACTATTATATTTGTTTGGATATGAGATCAATTTCACATTCATTGATGATGATGTTGTTGTTAGATTTTGAAGTGGACCTGGGATTGATGATAACGGCGACGATGATGATTCAATTGAACTGTTGCCAACTGATGTTATCCAAGTACCAATTAGATATATTGAACTAAAATATAAGTAGGATTCATTAGAGAGAAGAATGATATGTGTCATTATTGAATAGTTGGTTTGAACAAATGTCTTACATTAATAATCACTATTGAAAACCATGAAACATTGGATGGCTATTTTACCTCAGTAATGGAGTTCACTAGCAGTGTATACCCACGACCCTGTATGTGAGAATCGAACCCAGGTCCATCGGTCTTACATGAATAGTAGGATAAAATAGCTGTCCAGTGCTTCAAGGTTGAACAGTTCATGATTTCAATGAAATTATGTTATTGTTTGAACCAAAAGGTTATTGGTCTGATCCTAATGAGTGAACTCGTGTTTATTGGATTTGATCTACTAATGATTTAAGGTTATGACAAATTCCTCTGTGTTTTATCTAGGACTTTTATTCTTGCTATACCTCATACAATTTGAATGCTCGAACTCTAGAGCCCTCCAAGTTGCAAGTTAGAAGACAGAAGACGAGTAGTAAGGGATCTTATTCCAAACAGTATCAAATATGATACAAAGCACTCAGGTATTTATAGTTTTTAGTAAAGACGAAATCGTCATTACAGTCATCCAATCCGCATACAGTGGTTTTTAGCATTTGTCCAATTGGAGAGCTACACGTTGATATTCTGGAATGATTTTTCACAAGATGACTAAATGAAGTGCCTTCAACACCTTCAGAGCTTCTTAGAGCTTCCTTGAGTTCACTGGTGGTCGTCTCTACACCCTGTGTAGCATTCTGTATAGATTTTTCCCGTTAAAATTTTTCATATAAAATTAAGTGAAAAATTTGTTTATTAACGGAAGAAAACCTTAAAGATTTTTTCCGAAGACTGATAAAACCCTTGAAATATTATTGTACAATTGGGTTTTCTTAGTGGCTTGAAATCTGACTCCAATTAGATCGTATGATTGATTGTTAAAATATACATCATGACTATTCTCGTATAAAATTATCGGGTTAGATGATGAATAATGGGATTAAATAAGTCAAATACAGAATGGATTTCCCATTACATATATTTTGTACACTCAGTGATCTGAGCAGGCAATCAGAGGGACTAAGGGAAGAGAAGAGAGCAAAGTGAAATGACGCGCGGTGGAGCATTAATCGATATTTATGGCCACACAAAAATAAGTTACAGACTTGAATCTACCCATTGATATTAAGGACTGGGTTTGAGTCCCGGATTGAACATCAACTGTTGGATGCATGTACATCCAGCTGACGAGTCCTAAATAGGACGAAACGCGTGTCCTGGATTCCACTTCTAGTCACTATCCATCTTTGCTTATAAGTTACAGACATGTGATGAATGAGATAAGAAGTGTACACATATACGCTCATGTAGGAATAGTCAAGGTTGATAAGTGAATAATAATGACGAATTTTAACAGTTCAGATCATGAATCAATTGAAGCTAGAACACCATGGAAAACGTGGAAGCACTGGGCGGCCGTTTCGTCCTATTATGGGACTCCTCATCAGTTGAAATTACTACAATCTCCACAAAACCCCTTCTGATACGAATAATAACAAAGTCAACATGTGACTGAAGATGAATGAATAAATTGACCTGTTCAGAAGTTAGAATAAGTTATATAGGCTTAACATAGCAACCGACACTACATCTTAAACATCAGTCAACACATATTAGAAAATGTAATGCTTCTTATATTACACCAATCATTCAACTTTCTTTCATGTTTATTCCAAGTCTTCACTGTTTTCCTAAACGGTTTTTTTCTTGTTTCCATGTTTTTACATGTGTGTTTATGAGAACGGTCCATGGGTGAACTCAAGGAGGCTCTAAGAAGCTCAGGAAGACCTGAAGATATTCCATCCAATCAGCTTTCGGAAGAATATTTCACAATCACTACATTTAGCTTCCCTATTGGAAAAATGCTATTAACTCCCTGTATGAGAATTGAAAGACTATAATAATGATTTCGTTTTTAATAAAAAAACTATAAATATCTGACAGTTTTGTACTGTAATTGACACTGTTTGGGAACAACATTCCTTTCATGTGTCTTCTGTCTTCTCATTCGCGACTTGGGTAGGTTCTAGCGTTTGAATGCTCAAGTTATACGCGGCATATTATGAATCTAAGCTCTAGGTATAACAGTGTTCGTGCAGAAGATATTGATATTGAATTGTATATTTATTTATTATTACAATGAATGGTTGGTATTAGCTGTATTTTTAGATTGTATTCGTCAAGGATTGATTTGAATTAGGGTACCATTGAAACTCAATTGGAAAAAGATATCAATAGTACATATCTATGATCCTGTCACAGATCTAACTTAGTCCCCTCAGTCGATTCGTGATATCAGTAACATTTATCTACTTATTTGAACACATAAATAATGGTTGAAGGGGGCAACGAATACATATGCGCCACACAAGTCACTTGATTTGTGTGTGTATGTGCTATGATACTGCCCGGGTGCCCAAAGGGAGGCAGGTGGTTTTCTTAGGGGGCCACATCCGGAGCCTTCAACCTAAAGGTCTAATCCACAAGGCATTGGAGTGATGTTAAAGAAGATGCAGTCCCATGGCAGGCAGTGACCGATAATTTGTTCATATACCATTTGTTCCCCCAGGATTCTGGAGTTCATGTGCACCATTGGTTTGAAACGAGGGATTTCCAACACGCCTAGGTGTATCCTCCATACCCACCAAACCAGTTAAAGTACTCAACATTCTCCTTTTGTCCTCTCAATTTCATAAACAACACCGATGCCTCGAGAAGGCAGTGAGTGGGACTTTCCTGACAGTGGTTATATACGCGTGACCATGTGAGAGCAATTCGAGAGGGAGAGCTGACACTCCCCACTGGCCAGACTCTAATTTGTGGACGAGCCAATCAGAAGCGTTTGAGAGATTTCCAGGTCACATCACCAACTTCAGTGCTTAATGTTAACGTACAATCGGTTCACAGGGAATTTTGTACAAAACGTGATAATTGAGCGGCTATAACAAATAAAATGGCAAGACTATAATTTATGGACGAATCAATCAGGTATAAGATAAGAAATCTTGAATTTTGGCATGAAAGCCATTCATCCATTTGGCTAAATAGATTTTCGGTATTGTAGCTTATGTCAATTCATGATGAGAACCTTATATATAATTCCTAACTAAGCCAAATTATGACAATTCTTGGGAACTGGATAATAAAAGCACTAGTAACATTGGCTGCAGCCAGGTACTTCAATATATACGGATGATTGGAGAGCGTACATACTCCTACATAGTCTTGGTTATGTGCATCGAGTCGTTATCCACAAGTGGCATTTTATGTACTAAACAACTGGAGTGCACATAAACAATATTGAAACTATGTGGTCGAGGCTGAAATAGTTTTTGAGACTTTATCATGGCTCCAGAGGCCGACTATTCTGTAGCCATATAGATAATTTCCTCTACTGCGTGCATTACGATTTTAGAACCTCTGAACCTCTTTCGAACCTTGACAAGTATTTGAACCACGTATAAGAAGTGTATCCACTTTCTTTCTTTGGTTTTGTGTATTATATTTTTACTCTATACTGACCGTTTGCTAATTGACTAATATTTGTCAAGGTCACTGAAGATTCGTTCAAAGGTCGTCCATAAATTATAATCTCCTCGAAACGGGGGGGGGGTATTAACAATCTATTCAATATACAATTTCTCTAAAAATGATCAAAGAGGTAACTATTTTAGTTTACTTACCATGTTCTATTTGGATCATCTTTGTTTCCATTATAATAAACTTGAAAATCATTGATAATTTTTAAATAATCATCATTAGACATTTGATTCATTGATTGAATATAGAATAGAATTATTAAATTAGTGGGTAATTGTTCGGTTATATTAATTGTATTATTCATATACTGTGATAAACATTGATATAAATCATTCATTGTAGTTTGTTCACTATCAGTTAAGTTGAAATGATGTAATTTCAATGAAGATGAACTTGAGTGATATAGAAAATGAGAAGAAAACAAACAAACAAACAAGCATAGATGAAATGAATGATTGATTGATTCATACTTTACTTTTTATTTATTTATTTGAACACAGATATTGGTACGAGGAGGGCTGTGATACTGCCCGGGTGTCCAAACCGAAGCAGGTGGTTGTCTTAGGGGGCCACACTTGGAACCTTTTGACGTAAAGGTCTAACCCACAAGGCAGTGGAGCATCGTAAGGAGATACAGTCCCATGGTAGCCGGTGACCAACGATTGGTTCATACGCCATTTACTTTCTTAGGATCCTGGAGTCAATGTGCACCATTGGTTCGGAATCGCGGTTTTCCAACTCCCCTAGGTGGACTCGCCGTGTCCACCAGCCCCATTAAAGCGCCAGAAATTTGCTTTTCGTCCTCTCATTTTCGTAAACATCACCGCCGCCACGAGAAGACAGTGAGTAGGACTTCCCTGGCAGAGGCTATATACGTGTGGCCATGTGAGAGCATTTCGAGAAGGAGAGCGGACTCTCCCCACTCTCGACCGTGCCTGGGCATTTGGGGGCCTTACTTACTTACTTGACCTTGCTTTTCGCTAAGCATCTTTATAACTTACCATCAGCTGTTTTGCTCAATTAATCTCTGATCATGTAATATTGAAAGAATATTCGGGTACGGTATGCCAGTTGATTACCTCCTACTAAATCACTCAATACTTTTGTAAAATATGAAAATTGTACATTGAATACATCATTTGCATATTTTTTCTTCACTTGTCCTTTACATACTTCATCTGTTGTTATTTCGATCGCTTTCTGTTTTCTTTTCTTTTCTCGTTATTTCAATCTTCTGTTGGTAAGCATCTCACTTTCAATCCCTCCTACATACTACTTATATCTGTCCTCATGAATAGCGTACATCACAATATGATCGACCAAATCTATCGACATAGATCAGCAGATCGGATTTCTGTGGTTATGTTAGTTGATAGTAGATTAACCTACATCACATATTTCTAGAAATACTCTAGAATTCCTGAAATCTCGATTGAGCATTTTGATATGTTCTCATTTGAAAAAATCCTGAACAGTATGTACATCTCACTACATTGAAGTATACACGAATATACACTAATAGTGAAATCAACAATGTGTTTCCACTTGTAACACAAGCATGAATACGCATACACAAATGCATAAACCAAAGCGAAAACACTCTAAGCTTGAAACTACCGATTCATACAACACAGTTATTACGTAATAAGGTTGATACTAGTTTTTTGGAACAATCTATTAAATATTTCATTCTATTTTGAAACATTTCAATAGTATAAATTAATAACATGCTACAATTAACAGAATAGCTATTATCACTTGGATACTAATCTTTGATGGTAGTTTCACAATACTACTTATATTCCCTAATAATAAGTAGTTATTTAAAACGAGAGTTCATGTTTTCGCATACTTTACCTATTCTAATTATTTTAAGCGAAGATGAATAGTAGCTAGCAGTGGAATCCAGTACGTATGTTTCATCTTATTTGGGACTTGTCAGCTAGATGTAAATGCATCCAACAGTTGATGTTTACTCTGGGGTTCGAACCCAGTAGCATTCGCTTCAAACGACATCATGTTATCTACTTAACTACGGAGTCCTGATAGCCATTTACTTGTGAAATGGTGTGAAGTTTAAATTCATTTGGTATTGTTTACTTGGATCTTTCCATTGATGTTTAAGACTGCAATTACGTCCTGGATTCCACTGCTAGTTATTATCCATCTTAGTTTATAATGCATGTGAATTAAGGCAATATCGAAGCAATACGTCCATTATGTACATATACCAATAAGAGAAACTGATCAATTGCAGTCTTAAACGTGAATAGAAACATTCAAGTAGACAGTACCAAGTGAAATTATTATTATTACTATCAGTATATATGTAATTTGACAAGTATAAATAGCTGGAAAGGCGAGACTATAATTTATGGACGAACCAATCAGATATAAGATAACAGGTCTTGGGTTTTGGTACGAAATTCATCCACTCATTTGGCTAAATGGAGTTTTGGCATTATAACTGATATCAGTTCGTGATGAAAACCCTAAATCTAATTCTTGACCTTAACCATCAACCGTGAATCATAAATCAAATTCCTCATACAGGTTTATAACCCTCATTTGGTCCTATATATTTAGGTGAACACTCTCAAGGTCACTTCAGCGTCGCTGAAAGGTCGTCCATAAATTATAGTCTCACCAAAAACATAAAACAATTCTCCAGATATTATTCATTCATAGGCACCGATATGTCAATTATCATCATGCATAGATATGTGGCTCCTTATCTGATGAAGCGAAGAGAAGACAGCGAAGTGAAATGACGCACGTTGGAGAAGGTGGGTGAGCCAACTCCCATTTAATCAAGCGTTAGTCAATATTTATAGCCAGACAAAAATAGGTAACAGATATTTGATGATTAGGATAAGAAGATCACACATACACACATACGCTCATATAAAAACAGTCAATATTAATAATCGGATAATCAACTAAGTCAATATGTGACTCTAGAAGAATGAATAAACTGAACTGTCCAGAAGTTAGAATACGTTATATAGGCTTAGCATAGTAACCAACACTACAAATATACCTTACCATTTACTTTATTATCAAAAACGTTTTGTATGGATGTGTGTGTGTGTGTTCTTTTTCTATTAGTTTAACTAAAGTTTCATATCCTATTGATTTTAAATGAGGTACCCTTTGATAGAAGTAAAACTGTTTCTATTGCGTAAGCAAATACCTTATAGATCCCCATCATTTAAATATAGAAAGACAGTTGTTGTTAATGACATAATCTAAACAGCTGTGTTATTTCCATAGTAATGAAATGTCATTTATAACAATTTTTTAATCTATCAACTCAACAACAAACTGAATTATTGAATAAAAGAGAAAATATATTAACAATGTACTAGATTAGATACAAACATGAAATAGTTAATAGAATGTATGCTGTGTTAGATAACTATTGGCTAAGACAGAACGAGAAAAAATGAAGGCCCTGGATTCAAATCCCGTGAGCGGGATCGTGAATGTGCGTCGCTGAAGAGTCCTACAATAGGATGAAATCATTTATTTCAAACATACTTGATTTATATATCGACCAAGTAGATCGCATCACACCATAGATTAGGAAATAACATTTATACACGATCAGGCCAAAAAAGGCTGTGAACGTGGAAGACTTTAGTTAATAAACTGAACATAACTTAAGAACGGTAAATCGTATCACAATAATCTATAGGCCAAAATGAAGCTTATAATAAGAGGAATATGGATATACATAATCTAGTTACTGAACGGTTATACAATAGGAATATATATATATATAATATTAGTCGATCAATAGTTCTCAGAAGTTACCCCTAATCTAATGTTTATTAGAATATAACAGGATCCACCTAGGGGAGTTGTAAAACCCTCATTCCAAACCACTTGTGCACATGGGCTGGCTCCAGGATCCTGAAGGAACAAATGGCGTATGAACCAAGTATTGGTCATTGGTTACCATGGGATTGAACCTTCTCTAACGTTTTTCCATGTGCCATGTGGATTAGACCTTTAAGTCGAAGGTTCCGGGTTTGGACCGCCCCCCCTCTCCAAAGAAAACCACCTGCTTTGATCTAGACACCCGGGCAGTATCATATCACATACACATACACACACACACACAAAAATCAAGTGACTTTTGTGTGGCACATATGTATTCAGTGCCCCTCTGTACCAATATTTATGTGTTCAAATAACAACAACAATAATAATGATAAACCTTTTTTACAACTTACTTTATACTTGAACAAATATGTTCATAGAATGCTTGTATCACTATATTCATATAAACATCATCTATATCATAGAATATCATTAAATGATATGTATATAATAATTCATAATAAAAATATAAAATATCACGATTTAATAAAGTTTTTATCATTAAATTATTTAATTGTTTAAATAAATTCTGTTGATCATCATTTAAATGATCCGCTAATAAATTTGGTTGTTCAATATTCAATAAATCATAATTAATAGTTAATTGAATATTGAATTGTTTTGATTGTGATTGAATTAAATTAATTAAATGTTGAGGATTTTGAATTGTTCTCTCATTATTATTATTCTTAAATTGAATGGAATAATTTGATGTATTTGGATGAAATTCAATATACCATGTATAATTCAACGAATCAATATGTAATTGATATTGTTTGAATTCATTCATTTGAAGGTCATGCGGGTCGTTTAAATTCAAATAGGATGTATATAAATTATATAAATTAACAAGATGATTATTTATAGATTCCCAATTATATAATTTTGTTAAATAAAGGATACCAATATTTAAAATAGAATGTGTTGATGAATTATTATTATTATTATGTTGAGGATTGTTTAAAATAAGATTAACTGTTGCAATGAATGAATTGTTTAAATTAATTGTTCTTTCAGAAAAGCCAATAAATAGATCTAAAAGGATAAAATGAAACAAAGTTAAATAATTGAATGATGATGATGATGATGATAATGACAATTTCTAATAGTTGATATTATGAGACAATTGAAGTTAGACCATACCATAGATAATCTGGAAGCATTGAACAGCTGTTGTGTCCTATTGTCGGAGTCTTCAACAGTGATCATACATGATTCTGCATCGCGACATTCGTTTGGCTTACTTACTTACGCCTGTTACTAACAATGGAGCATAGGCCACCGAACAACATTCTACAACCCACTCTCTACTGGGCCTTCCTTTCTGGTTCTATACAATTGTTGTGCGTTCTTCTCATGTTTGTCTCCATTTCTCAACATGATGTGTTCTTTGGTCTTCCTCTTCTCTTTTGGCCTTGAGGATTCCATGTGAGGGCTTGCCTTGTGACGCAGTTCGATGCTCTTCTCAATGTGTGTCCTATCCACTTCCAGTGCTTCATCCTGATTTCTTTCTCCGCTGGGATCTGGTTCGTTCTCTCCCAAAGTGGGTTGTTGCTGATAGTGTCTGGTCAACGGATGCGAAGTATTTTGCGTAGAGAGCTGTTAATAAACACTTGTATCTTGTGGATGATGGCTTTCACAGTTCTCCAGGTTTCCGCGCCATACAGTAGAACTGTTTTGACATTTGTATTGAAAATTCTGACCTTGGTGTTGGTTGACAGTTGTTTTGAGTTCCAGATATTCTCCAGTTGTAAATATGTTGCTCTTGCTTTGCCGATCGACGCATTCACATCTGTATCAGATCCACCGTGTTCATCAATGATGCTGCCCAGATATGTAAGCGTTTTTACATATTCCAAATCTTCTCCGTCAAGTGTGACTCGGTTGTTGCATGCTGTGTTGTATCGGGGAATCTTGCTTTATTTGCTTCGCTTAATAGAATAAAATTAAGATTGGATTTTGCATTGATCAAATAATAATATTATTTAGGCGGGATCGTGGATGCGCACTGCTAAGGATACCCGCAGTAGGACGAAACGGTCGTCCAATGTTTGCAGGTTTCCCATGGTGGTCTAATTTCAGTTGACTTATAAATTTAAATGTTAAATTACTATTATATCCACAAAACCCGTTTCTGATAATGACGATGTTAATAGGTTATAAGTAACTTAAGATCTGGCAAAAATATTTATCATTGCATGTCAAGGTAATATTGAATGGTAATAAGGAAATATGGGCAATTGTCCCTTAATAATTGCTCATGTTGTAGAAGAATACTTCTTTTTGAGGAAAATAGAAAAGGAATCTAGACAAGAGTGGTCTTGCCTACTTGAGAGTTTGACCGAAGAGTAAAAATGACAGCTTAGTGAGACTTTGATGTTGACGCGTTTTGTTAAAAATTCTCGATGTGTTTGTTCTGTAGTTTTGAGTCCTTGCCGTAAATGAGAGAAATTCATACCATATGGCAGGGGGTCCTATTTTTCTTTTCTCACTGATTATACACATACTTGTCAAGTGGACAATGAACTCTTATGTATATGGTGTATCACTAATTACACATGGTCATCGAGACATATGTAACATATGTTTAACAAATACCTACTTAGAAAGATTATGTTAGCTAGTGTAGGAGTAGGTTTGAAAAAAGTTAATGACAGTCAAACCGAAACCCGTTATCAATTCATAAAGTTATTTACTTCTGTGTTTTTAGTCTTATTAATAGATATAATCTATCTGCTAAGAGTCCCGGCGTAACCGTGATCAGTGGTTGACGACGTTGGGTGACATAGCACAGATACATTGAAAATGGAGAAGATTCATCCATTCTTCATCTTACTCTAGATCTCGAGTTCCATTGTTCTTTTAAACCCAACTTCTTGATTTATTCTTCTGAAACAATATTTTGAATGATAAGACTTTATTATTATTATTATTATTATTGGTGATACGATTATTTTGACTCCTTCATTATTCATCTTGTCGATTCCTTTGCGTTGTTGTGCTAAAGTGATATGGGAATTTTTAGATAACTCACACAAGTACCAGAGTATATGTTAATCGTGACTGACTAGGAAAGTAACTGTTATATCCAATGAAGACTAAATGAATGATAACTATCAGGATTAATTGATGGACTATCATTATATATATCATGAGCTTTCGACTAACACATTAGATACTATGGTACGTTTTATTGTTCTTAATCTGATGCCAGTTTATTATACACAGTCTCCCCTGACCATACACGACTTTTATTTTTCATTTTATGGTGTGATCTGGTCAGATATGTCTATATATAAACTACATATGCTTAAAATATAACATTCGTATGGTGGAGGTTGGTTATTGTGATCTAGACTCACCGGGCATGGCAACGAGAGAAGCTACCGGATCATGGACCAATAAGTGCTAAGATATGACTTGAAGTTATTAGTGCTGAACATATTCCGATTGGTGCTTTTGTCACGTGCTATTGGAGAGCATGCATAAGTCATAACAGTGGTCAATGTTTAGTCGGAATTAATACAAAAGAAAGTGAAAATTTAGGAGATCCTGGGTTTTAATCCCATGTGAGGGATCGTGGATACACACTGCTAAGGAGTCTCATACTAGGACTAAACGGCCATCCATTGATTTCAGGTTTTTAATGATGGTCTAACATTGATCAGTTCATGACTTCAATCTCTGTAAACGCCAAAATGAAGCGTTAAAACATCAGTATCTCATAAGGAAGATGAGAGAACGGGAAGTGCGCAAAATGAAGAAGAACATAACAAGCTAATCTATGTTTGTAATATAACAAATGTACATAGGAACAAGATGCAGATGAAGACAGCCAGTGTAGCAGCAGTCTCTGCATCAGTAGGCCTCAGTATACACAAAGGGAAAACGAAGGTCCTCAAATACAACACCGAGAACACTAACACAGTCACACTTGACGCTGGAACTCTGGAAGATATGGAAACCTTCACATGCCTAGGAAGCATACTCGATGAACGAGGAGGTTCAGATGCAGACGTAAAGGCAGGGATTGGTAAAGCAAGGACAGCATTCCTACATTTGAAGAACATATGGAACTCAAAACAACTTTCAACCAATATCACAGTGAGAATCTTCAATACGAACGTCAAGGCAGTTCTACTATATGGAGCTGAAACTTGGAGAACTACAACAACCACAATCAAGAAAGTACAAGTATTTATAAATAGCTGTCTACGCAAGATACTCAACATCCATTGGCCGGATACCATCAGCAATAGCCTTCTGTGGGAGAGAACAAACCAGCTTCCAGTTGAAGAAGAAATTAGGAAAAGACGATGTAAATGGATAGGACATACATTACGCAAATCATCAAACTGCATCACGAGACAAGCCCTATCTTGGAATCCTGAAGGGAAGCGGAAAAGAGGAAGACCAAAGAACACATTACGTCGGGAAATAGAAGCAGACATGAAAAGGATGACTAACAACTGGAAGGAGCTGGAAAGGATTGCCCAGGACAGGGTTGGATGGAGAATGCTGGTGAACGGCCTATGCTCCTTCACGAGGAGTAACAGGCGTAAGTAAGTAAGTAAGTAACATTGGAACAAAACTTTCTTCGGAATTATTGGAGTACTTTATACTTGAAATAGATAGTATATGAGCTTTCAGAATTGATTGCTACTGAGTAATAAATAAAAAACGAAATTTAATCAATTCTCTATCCTCAGGAGTCAGACAAATATACACTGAAGATACATTGAATATAATCCAACAAACAATAGCGTCCCATTTCTGTTCATTGATTATGATCTATAATCAAAACATCAAGTTGAAAGTACTTTCACAGTTCAAGGAAGATACAACTGCTAAGATATAAAACAATAGAATATCTAGATCCTTAAGTAAAATATATTTTATTCATCAGAACTTTGAACTGGTTTTTTATTATTTCACCAACAAGATACTCATTTACTAAGTTATAAAGTGTTGGAGTGATCCAGAAAACTTCTCGCAAAAGACAAGAAAGACTCAGGAAACATTAAGAAGTATTTCATCCATTCAATGTTCACTTGAAGTTTAACCAGAAATATCAAAAAAGTGAAAAGTTAAATGTAGAGTTTCTGATTAGCTGATTACTATACTGCATACTGTGTTTAGCAGCATTCCAGAATCTTCGGGAAACCCAAGGATATCTAAAATATCCTAAACACCCTATATTTTCTGTACTGGGACGAACCTTTGGAGTAAAGTGCTTCTTGCATATTTTGCGCCTTTTCTCTCGTGTTTAGGTCGTTGTGTAGTTCCAGCTTGAGGATTACGAGAACAGCTTGAGTAATCGAATATAGCGTTCAATTAGCAAGACTTATCATAAAGAGTAAACTACCATTTTGAGTTACCTCAATATTTATTTTATTATGAAAAATCAATAAACGACCAAATTGTACCCAACAACAATATTGTTCAAAATAAACTCACTTGAACAAGTATCACATTCAACGGGTATTATCTCTGCATTACATAATATTGACATATTATTATTATTACTATTATTATCATTATGTAATCCAGTTGAATTATGTTGTATTGTCTGTGGTAAAGAGTTACTATGTGTAATAATCATTATCTGATTATTATTACTACCACTACTACAATGAACATCGGTATTAGTAGGTGTAGATGTAATGGTAGTCGTAGTACTTGTCATTACATTCTCATTATTCGTAAGTAATAATTTATTATTATTATTATTATTATTATTATTATTATTATTATTATTATTATTATTATTAGTAGTAGTAGTAGTAGTAGTAGTAGTAGTAGTAGTAGGAGGAGGAGGAGGAGGAGGAGGAGGAGGAGGAGCAGGAGCAGGAGCAGGAGTACTGTGTTGTAGCTGATGTTGATGTTGATGATGATGGTGATAATGTTGTTGTTTTTGTAAATGTGTCACTAATATTTGTAATCTTTCATTATCTGTACGTAAATAATTTAATTGTGAATATAAATGTGACATTTCATCTTTTAATTGATCTAATTGATGAGCACTTGCTAAAGCTTCCAATTGTACATCAGTTAATTTAGATTCTTTTTCAGCTAATTGACATTTTAAATGATTCAATTCATCTTGACATGATTGTTTATTTAATCTATAAATCAATAATTTGAAGGTTAAAAAAGTGAGAGAGAGAATTATCATTATGATTGAGATCATGAATCGATTGATGTTAGACCATCATTGAAAACCTGGGAGCACTAGACGATTGTTTCATCCTATTGTAGGACTCCTCAGTAGTGTGCATCCACGATCCTGTTCGCGGTTTTCAATAGTGATCTAACATCAATCAGTTCATGAACTCAATCAAAAAACTTAATAATCTTCACACCCTCATACTGATATCATCATGAAGTTATAGCGGTAAATAAATTCCCAATATAAGTAGTTCAGTAACTCGTCAACATTTGATTATGACCTTATTAGTTTGATTGGAAATACCCTAACTGAAGGTTCTCAGTCACGCATTCGAACCAGATCACGAGTGAGTATGTCATGCTACGCATCTCTTACAACCGTTAACTAGATTAGATTAAACGCTTCCCAATATATCAATAGCCTTTCAAATATATCTTTGAACCTCTTCATTTCTGACTTTTGATTTGATTGAGTTAGTATACCTTGATTATAAAGGTCTTATGTGTAAAGGCGTTGTCAAACTCCCAATACCTGTGACATATTTAAACTAATCTAAGATTAAGGGACTATTAAAAGCTAAGAATCACTGATAATTGTCTAGTTGATTACTTTGAAAACATTCTAATAGAGGACCTTCAAGTTTTGTGAAGAATGTGTCAAGATTAAAATTGTTCATTCGTTTTGTATTGTTTGTTTGAATCTTCTCATTGAAATTTAGGACCACAATTGATCAGTCTCCCTTATTGGAATATGTTCATCCTGTACGGATTGCCTTGATATTGCCTTAATTCACAAGCATTATAAGCAAAGATGAATAGTGGCTAGCAGTGGAATCCAGAACGCGCTTTTCATCCTATTTGGGGCTCGTCAACTAGATATACCTGCATCTCATCTTCTGGATTAGTCTATGATGAAAAAGTCACCGATATAATAGACTGTTTATTTGTATATGTTGTACGAAGATATGATGAAATAATGTCAGCTGTTTTATAGTAAATGTCTTAGGAATGTGATAATTCTCGGAAACAAAATATGATAACAGTCAATATCTCTTCTCTGTTTGAAATTTCATTCTGGACTACTTAGCTTTCAAATCACATCAACCTAGCGCTCCACAGGCTCTCTACTACATAATGTTGAATTTCACATACGATAATAGCATAAAAATAAGAAAAACTACTTTTAAGTTGTCAATATGATGTTGTAGAGATAGTTGAAATCATGAACGATATAAGATAGACAATTATTGAAAACTTGGTAGCACTAGACGGCCGCTTCTTCAACAGAATGTATCCACAACCCACACACAGGAATCGGACCTAGGATCTTCATTCTAACGTCAAACCTCTAGACCACAGGGTCGGCACCTAACAGTGTTAATATCTAATTTCAATCAATCTTAAACATTTCACGACCAACTTCGTTTGTTTTTGCTTAGTAAATTACACACGCCCGACACGGTTGAACTACACTTGTCATGGTTTCTCACTAGAATTCTAGAAATTCACTTTGGAAGCTAGTCATCACTAGTAAGCACACGATCATTTTCAGTATGGAGTTGTAGAGATCATTGAAATACTTGAAATTGTCTTTTATTCTGATATTATCTCAACACCTAATATCTGAGACAATCTAAAAGAAGCATATAACAATGTTACAATCATAAAACTTATCAGTACGACACATTCCCAACCCTATAGGAAATCGAACCCGGGACATTCCAGATCTCTTCATGAGTACTTAACCTTTAAATCAAAGTACAGATTTTCAAATAAAACCATAACTTGATATTAAATAACATTGAGAAATATAAACATACTCTAATTTACTATCATTCCTGTCCAGAATATTTCTATCACCTCCGTCAACATTGAATAATTTATTTTGTTTATCTGAATCATTATAGTTAACTAAGTAATTTGGGCAACTAAGTTGATTTGAATGGATTGGTCGATGGTCCTGTTGTTGTTGTTGTTGTTGCTGTATTCGTGTGTTGTTCAAACGATCTATAGTTTAATTTTTTTTAAAAATGAAGATCGTTAGTTTTCGTCTTTCATTATGTAAAAATATCATACATTACTTTTTTGATAACTCAACCTGTAGCTCTTCTAGAGTTACTGCTAGTCCTAAGCCCGACTAAAAGAGGAGAGTTGAGCAATGAGGTTGGCAACCCCATCCCATAGAAAAAAACTTGTTAAAAATATGTCAATCAGATTCAACAAATTAAACCATTTGTACTCTGCCCTGAGAGTTGAAAGTAAAACTATGATGCTTCTGGATGAAAGCTGAAATTCTTCAGAAGTCACGAGGCCGATACTTCTTCTAACAACCAGTGCAATCACAAAAACTATTTTGATGATGATGACGGTGGTGGTGATGATGGTGATGATTATGGTCCTGATGTTTTCTCTAACTAGTTTAACTGCTTAGTTTTCATTATCATTCTGGACAATATCACTGATGCTTACTACCTGGAGAAGTGAAATTCTTAGCTTTTATTCAAGCGTCAAATTAGTTCAATTTAATAGTCTTCATAGGACTTGTTGTCTTCATTTGTTCTTAGTATTCATGTTGAATATTTGTCTTCTCTTGTTTACCTTTGATATTGTTGTCCATTGATTTCTGTCGTATGGATATTAATAGAGTGTATCTATATGTTTATTGGTTACCAATTGATCCGAATATCATGAATGAAGCATCTAGTTCAAGAAACATAACAACATCAAGATGATCTATCGGAGCTAGAAATCTCCTTTATCATTCCAAGATAAACATTTTGGTAAACTTATCGTTTTTACCAAACCGGTAAGTACTATACGTTAGTAGCTAGTATGAAACAGGAGATCGGACAACTCGAGTTCAAATCCTATAGGGAGCATTTATTTTTACCCTGTTAATGAGTGCCAGTTAACCAAGACACTTAGGTTAATTATAAAAATTGAGGTTTGTGGAGGTTGTAGCAATTTAGTAGTTGAATGAGTTGAGTTATGCTAGATCACCATGGAAAACCTAGAAGCAATGGACAGTCGTTTGGTTCCAGTATGGGACTCCTCAAGCGTTTACTCATTGAAAACAATGATGGACGGCCGCGCAATACCATGGATTGGTTGAAGTTACACATTAACACCGTTAGATGCCGGCCAACTCAGTAGTTTAGAGGTTAAATGTTCACGCGTGAAACCAAAGGTCTTGGGTTCGAGTCCCACGTGCCGGATCGTGGATGCGCACTGCTGAAAAGTCCCAAACTACAAAGAAACAGCCATCCAGTGTTTTCAGGTTTTCCATGGTGGAATATTAAATTAATCACAATTCGCTTTCGACTACCTATGAGAAAAACAAATTACTACATTGCAAGAACATTGTAGTAATCATATTGTAGTTTCAATAGAAAGCAATTACATAACATAATTACTGAGATTATCATCAACCAATTCATGAATTACAAGCAATTATCATTAACTACATCATAATGACCACTTAATTGAAATGTTGTACATTTGTAAAAAAAAGTCTATTAAAAAAACATGTCCACACCTACGATACACAAATCAAGGGCAAGTACACATATAGTTACAAATACATATATGAATGTGTACACAATCTTATACCTAGAGAAAAGTTGGTTGATGTAACCAGGTGAAAAGAAACATACAACATAACACAGAAATGAAAGGGTGTTAAGTGAACTAAAAGAAACTATGAAATGAGTGAATGCATAATATATATTAAGTAAACATTCCAATGTAAACATGCACACATATACATGTACAAGAACACTCCATTTCCCGAATGGTTATCAATCAATAGAATGTAGCACAAATATGAGAGGTATTGAGTTACAAAAGAGTTCATCGAGAATTGATCATCACATTAACTTGGTGAAAAGATTACAGAGATGATGAATAAACAAGTGAGGTAGAAATCATAGACCATAGAGTTTAAGAGACAATTGAATGTGAAACTGGTGACATAAAGCCTTTTTATGTATAGTTCTTGTTGTGTTAACTTAGTGCTTTAGAAGCTCTATATCGGGTAACCGAAATCTATAGGGGATGATATGATGAACCGTTGTTTATAAGACTTTTTTAATTGATTTTTCATTATGAAGAGGTAGCATTGCTTCAAATGATGATTGTTTACGAAAAATCTTTCCTTCTATCACAGTACCATGTAGTCGGAAGTATGACTTCCTCTTCGAATCCTAAGTCTGTTGATTTTTGTCCTACTGCTGTCTAATTGACTTGAATGACATAGTAAGACGTAAAAGAACGAGTATTTCTACCAAAACATATTTCAATGGCATCACATAATGTGAAAATTTAACCACTACATTAAGGTAGCAGCTACGATTGTTAGTTGAAATCTAAACGTGAATAATCGAGTTTATAAATTATCCTAAAAAATTAAGTCCTAAATTGTGTCGCGTTAAGCGTTATAAATTGAAATATGCAAAACGGAGTGTTATTGTCATTAAATTTATTCGGAATGAAGATATTCACAGTGACCATTGATTATATGTAGAAAAACTAGACTTGATGCCCCAGTTATTCATGATTTAGTAGAATATACTGAGGTTACTGTACCATGTGACCTATGACCCACGGTATATGAAAGTACAGAAAATGAGTGGATTACTAATAAACGATCATAAATGCATTAAAAACATTCCTTGCGCATGATGGCACAGGAGGGGAATTAGTTGATGAACAGCAATGAATCGTCATATGTCAGACCTCCAGTGGGGTTGTGGGTGCTCATTGTAATGAAATCAGTCACAACAGTTAGACGTGAAGACATGACACAACTAACAACACTCTCAAACAATCAGCATTCGCGGCGATACAAAATTTTAAAACGGAAAGAAGGTGTGAAACGGTTGGGACTTTTAAAATAGTAAATCTTATCTTAACTCTGATAGTTTCCTTTGACAGTGGTAATGCCTGAAAATTATGGAGCTAGTATACTATGAACCACAAAGAAAAATACCTCGTCTACTTGTCTATATATGGCACTTGAAGGAAATGATGCTCCCTGGTAGATTCGATCTATTAACTTACAGGAGATTAGTTACATCTTGAATGCTTCTGTAGTAATGTACAAGGTTATGAGGCTGAATGATATGGAACTGAAATAGCCCATTTTGGGGAAGCCCCTATAGTAAATTTTGGGGAAATTTTAGGGAATTTTAGGGAAATCCCCAAAATTGGGAGCTTAGGTAATTACAGATCGAAATCTGTTTGTAGTCAATAGTAACTAATCTTAATTGATTTTGGCAACTGTTGAATTATTTCATTATTAAATCAACCAATTAAAATGTAATTGTTTGTTATTGTTGTCGGTGTAATGTGTTGCATGAAATTTGGCCAACTGACCTTAGAATATTGTTTTGATTGATTATCGTGTATTCATGTATCGTATATGATTAATGACAGATGTAAACAACTGGTGAATAAATCTCTTTTTTTTTCTTCTAAAGAAAGAAACGATATTTTTGAATTATCTATGATCATCTAGGGGATAGTTGATAATGAAATGAATTCACCGCACTTGAAGGAAATGATGCTCCCTGGTACATTCGATCTAATGACTTACAGGAGATTAGTTACATCGTGAATGATTCTGATGTAACGTACAAGTTTATGAGGCTGAGTGATATGGGAGTGAAACCACTTAAGAACGTCAACTGCCTTAAGATTCCAGGTGTACTTTGTTGAAGAGTGTTAAAAAGTACGAAACCCACGTAAAATAGGGTTTCCTGTTGACTACCTTCAACATAGTACACATGATGTCGTAACCAAGACTAATGACCACAGTACAGTTTGACTGGTAAAATTTGATCGGTACTACGAAGTTTTTGACATAAACAAGATTAATCACTTAACGACAATCAGTCGATTGTAAATAAGTCCGTCGCTTGACTACAATAACTTGAAGATCGCATCCTTTATTTAGGATAGTATTTTGGTGTGGTTATGTTAGAGATTTATTGATTAGTTCTAGTCACTTACCTTGTTTAGGATCAGATCATGATAAAGTTGCCAAGTTAAAAATGTATTATTGTTTTAACTTCCTAATGTGATTTATGTTAAAACTAACAGACTAATTTTGTTAATTGAAGAGATCAGTGTCAGGAGGGGTTTTGTGGAGATTGTAGTAATTGCTTAAATTGAGATAATGAGTCAATTGAAACCAGAACACCATGGAAAACCTGGAAGCACTTGACGGCCGTCTCGTCCTAGTATGGGACTCCTCAGCATTGAGCATCCACGATCCCGCCACCCGAGATTCGAACATAGGACCTATCAGTCTCGCGCGTGAGCACTTAACCTCTAGACCACTGGGCCGGCCGAAATCCAACTGTCTAACTTCAACTAATCCACGAAACTGAGCGACACATCCACCATTGTTATCAGTGAGTTACTATCAAACAACAGACCCGGTTGAATCGCAGAGATAACTAGACACATGACAAAAATCATTTTACTTAAATGTCAATCACACTGAGTTACTTTGATTTTAGGAGACTATCTCATTCATTTAAATCATGATCACGATTAAAAACCTGGAACAACTGGACGGTCAATTTATCCTAGTATGGAATTCCTCAAAAGTGCGGATCCAATACCACACCATCAGGACTCAAACCTGACACAGAATGGACTCCAATGGTAACGATTGATAAAAGTATAATGTATAAATTTTCTAAATTTAAAGTAAAAAAAGTTAACATATCAAAATAGACGATTTGTAAAGTGTAAAACTTACTAATTTGTTCATTTGTATATGGTACAATAGTACTACTACTACTATTGGTAGTAGTAATAGTAGTAGTAGTAGCTGTAATGATATTACAATTATTTTGACCATTTCCACTTATTCCTAATGTACTCCATGATGATGATGACGATGATAATGTTGATGAATTCGATGGAGATAAACCATTCAAATGTGTATTGGATAAGACAGACAAAGCATTCATATGACTATTAGATTGTATAGAATTCATATTAGATTGATTTATAATAGTATTATGTAATCCTTTATGATCCATAGTCGGACTTTGTGGTAAGTTGGATGGATGTCCAGGAGGAAGACTATTATTGTTATTGTTACTATGATAGATAGAGTTGTGTTGTATTGATGATGTAGGACAATCTATATCACTTTGTGAATGTATTGATAGTGTTGATGATGATGTGGTCTTTTTACGGAATGCTTTACCAAGTGAATTACGAAACTAATTTTGTGATAAAAAAGGAAATAATATTAGGTAAATAGAAGCAATAAATGTGATGAATTAAAAATCAAAGCATTACTGACATAGAGAAAGAACAGAGTAGTAGTCATAGTGAATATGAAGGTGGAATATATTAGTGATCCAACATAAGTCTATTGAGCAACGTAGGCTATGAAATTGTGGCTTTAATAGTATACAGTAATTTCATTGAAATCATGAACCGATATTAGTTAGACCATTACTGAAAACCTGAAAGCACTGAATGGTTATTCGGCCTCCAAATGCCGTGGTATAGCCGAGAGTAGGGAGAGTCAGCTCTCCCTCCATTGACAACCAGAGCAACTATTAATTTAGGTACATGGAATGCTCGTACAATGTGGGAGACCGGGAGAGTCTTCCAAATTGCTGCAGAAATAAGGAGATTTATTGGACGCAGGTTGGACAACAACGACTAGCTTCAGGGGAGCTTTATAAGACAAGCCCTTATATGGAATTCTCAAGGCCAAAAGAAAAGAGGAAGACCACGGAACACATTACACCGAGAAATCGAAACAGACATGAGAAAAATGAACAAAAATTGGATAGAACTAGAAAGGAAGGCCCAGGACATTGTGGGTTGGAGAATGCTGGTCGGCGGCCTATGCTCCATTGGGAGTAACAGGTGTAAGTAAGTAAGTAATCATATATACCGTCATGGTTTTACTCATGTGATTTGTTGCATGGTAAGAACCGTCTACCAAGAATCGAAGTTCGAATTTCAGTGTAAACAATGAAACTAAATTATTTCATTCGCTCTCACTCTCTCTCTACATCCACCCACCCATCCACACACACACACACACACACTAATATTTATAAGCACCTATTTAGAAGAATTCGTTTTCCTGCCTAAATTACAGTAATCAAATACTGAATAGCAATTTTTCTAAGGTATTAATCATTCTACCATCAAGTATGTACAATTAATAATCATAATAATGCAACAATAATAATGATAATGTATCTGTTGAAGGGAAGCCTAATGGAATACAAGAGTGTGTTTCACTTTTAGAATTCCAATGAATTTCATAATACATACAACTAAGCTACCCAATAACATTTATATACACATATATGCCTAAGCATAAATAGTTCGCAATAGAAGAGAGAAATGAATGAAACAAGAAGAGAAAAAGAAAACAAGGAAAGAAAAGAAAAGAAACGAAAAGAAAAAAGCCCAAATGAAACAGGTGAAACTATGATTAGGATTATTCATAGTTGAATATATGCGTTGGTTGGCCTATTTATTGATTCAAAGAGATGATTAATTAATCAACAATGTTTGACCAATTATTCTAGATAAGGTCAACTAACAAATACATTTATGATAATGATAATAATAATAAGGGTTTAACGGAAAGTGTTTTATGAATATTTATTCAATATGTAGATTGTATTTATCATAGATTGATTTCGTTGATTGGAAACCATCAGTAACAGTCTACGATGGGAGAGGAAAAACCGACCTCTAGCTGAGGAGGAAATCAGGAAAAGACATTGGAAGTGGATATGATATGACATTATGGAAATCATCAAAATGCATCAAGAAGCTAGCCCTAACTTGGACTTCTGGAGGGAAATGGAAAAGCGGAAGGTCGAAGAAGCCGCCACGTCGGGAATTAAAAGTAGACATGAAAAGTATTAATAGCAACTTGAAAGAACTGGAAAAGATTGTTCAGGATAGGGTTGAATGGAGAATGCTAATGGATGATCTATACCTCTTCACAAGAGGTAAAAAGTGTAAGTTTTCAGTTGAGTTACCATTGAAAGTTCGGGTGAATCACTAGATAGCTGTTTCCTTCTAATTTGGAACTCTTCAAGGAGTGATCATTGACGGCTTCATCGGCAATAGAATGCAAGACATTAAAGACTCGATGCTAGTAAGTGATGTGTTACTTTTAATTCGACAATTTTCACAATTCCTTATGTAGAAACATTTCATGTGATTATAGGTGACTAACTTCTAGAAGTAATTCCTGAAGTTCTATTGCGAAGATAGGACCAATGGAGTTTAGCCACACTAAGCATTAGATGGATATCAATAACAACGAACGATGATCGAATGCTATCTGAGTGATCTAAAAGTTAGGTGCTTATCACAAAGCCTGAAAATCCTGGGTTCAACCCCTAGATGGTACTGTAGACACACACTGGTGAGGAGTTTCATACTAGGAGGAAACATATTTAGTAGTTCGCAGTTTTTAACAGTTATCAAAATACAGTTAGTTCATGATCTCTTGGTAGATTACATATTAGGACGAAAAACTTGACTAGTGCTTCAATAGTTTTATTGAGTTAAATCTATAATGTAAAGTAACGAAAGTATCAATTCATTTAGTATTGTTTATTTGAATCTTCCGATTGATGTTTAGGACTGCAACTGATCAGTCTCTCTCCTATTGGCATATGTGCATTCTACGCGGATTGGCCCAATATTACCATTAAGTTATAAGCATTAGGTTCGAGTCCTAATGTAATCAACAATATTAGGATGTGACAGGTACATCCAGATGTTATGATTCCCGAGTAGGATGAAATAAGCGTTTAGATGGTGATTGGAGGGAACCGTGGACCCGGTTTTTGTGCTACTTAGCATTCATCTCCAAGGTATACCTGTAATCTTGAGGGAACTAGTGCCTCTTGACATATTCGATCCGGTGTCACCCAGACTCACAGTCAGAGAAGTTACCACTAGGCTATCCGGGTCGTGACCAACTTCCTGTAGGACTGTGATGTAATCACAATTGATTGATCACTAGGTGGTGATCAATTTCATGTGTATCAAGTATTTCTTAGTTGAGATCGAATGCTATCGACCAAGTTTCAATGTGGCCACTAGTCTAAGTGACTCGACATTGCGTGCACTATATTGAGATTAGATGGTGTCTGTAGGTAGTCGACAGGAACAGACAAGTGGCCACATTTTAACTTGGTCGGTAGCATTTGATCTGCACTAAGAAGGACTTGAAACACCTGACATTGATCACCACTCAGTGATCAATCAATTGTGATGAAATAAGCGCCCTAGATTCCACCATTAATCACAAGTGAACTAAACAAAAACACTATAGTTCGTCAGTTTAGACAGTCTCATTAACAACTGTACACAAGACAAACTATCTAGAATATAAATTCACTTGATATTGTTTGGCTTCTATCTTCCCAAAAAGCTTGTGAACTAAGGTAATATCGAGGCATGCGCACAGTATGCACATATGCTAATAACAGACTGATCAATTGCAGTCTTAAACCTCAATGGAAAGATACAAGCCAAACAATACATAGTGAATTTTAATTCACCCCATTGCACAAGCAAATGGCTATCAGGACTCAGTAGCTGAGTTGATAACGCGATGGCATTTAAAGCGAATGGCACTGGGGTCGAGTCCTAGAGAGAACATCAACTCTGAGATGCAGGTACATCCAGTTGACGAGTCCCAAATAGGACGAGACGCGCGTTCTGGATTCCACTGCTAGCCACTATCCATCATTGCTTACAAAATATCTAGAATATGTATACCAAAATTTCTTACCCATCCATTTTTCTTCACATTAGTTCCTGAAGATTTACAACCGGATGTGGTAGATGATACTTTATCAATTGAATTATCCATTTGTAATTGTTGGCTATCTACATCAGTAAGACTTGCATTTGAAAATGTTAAACGTGAATTAATATGTGCTTGTTCATTCTCACTACCAGTATTGGAAGTAGTATTAGTAGTAATAATAGTAGTGGTAGAATTAGAAGTAGTAGTAGTAGTAGAAATGCATGAGTTTTCTTGTTGTTTCAATGTATCATTAGTAAATGATCTATTCAATTCACAAGGTCGATTAATTGGTGGTTTTTTTAATAGTCCTAATTCTGTTTGACTACGTAATGCATCAATTGTTGCTCTTAATTCATGTAGTTCTGAATCCTTTCGAAGAAAAAAATGCCAAAAAAATCATATATTTATATATACTAAATTACAGTAATTGTATAACTTGATACAATAGTGAATTAATTCAAGTTACTTTGTATTACAATATCGGGATCCCATTCAAACGTCTTCCTAACGTACATATACCGTCATCGATGCTATGGCCTTAGATTACTTACTTACTTACGCCTGTTACTACTAATGGAGTATAGGCCCCCGACCAGCATTCTCCAACTCACTCTGTCCTGGGCCTTCCTGTCCAGTCCTGTCCAATTGCCTATGATTGGCTTTCATTGATTAATTGTGTATGATAATCATATGAACTAGCGCACTTTCATTAAATGTTTACAAACTATTGAAAAATTAATTTCTTTTTGTATTGATTGTTTGAATCTTTCCATTGATCAGTCTCTCTTATTGGCATATGTTCATCATAAGTGGATTGCGTCGATATTGCCGTAAATCACAATCGTTATAAGCGTAGAGATGGATGGTGGCTGACAGTGGAACCTAGTACAGGCGTTTCGTCCTATTTCAAACTCGTCAGCTGGATGTGCCTGCATCCCAGCGTTGATGTTCAATCCAGGACTCTAACACAGTACCGTTTACTTTAAACCCCATCACGTTACTCTGTTAGCTACTGAGTCCAGATAGTCATTAGATTGTGCCAATGGGTAAATTATAATTCATTCGTATTACTTACTTAAAGCACTGGATGGTCGGTTCGTCCTAGTGTAGTGAATGAGAACACCAATGGGGACAACCGAATGTATTTTGATACAAAATTACAGAATCTCATAGTAAAATCTGAGACTCATACAGTAAATTCTTCATTTACAAAATATCCATCAATTGTCTAAAACTTTGTTATTCCTTCGCTTCTACACCAGTCACTCTCTTCTTGTTCTCTTTTCTTCAATCTTCTTAACTTTCTACCGCCAGACATTTTACTTTAAGTTGATAGTACATACTACTCATATCTGTCGACATCAGCAGAACATACCACATTAGTATGGGACTCCTCAGCAGTGCACATCCACAATCCTACACACGGGATCCTCATTCTGTTTAATATTTTATGTTATTATATTCCAATATCAAAGTCATTGGTAGATAAACCGTGTTGTTTTATCATAATTTTCACATTCTTAAATATTAAACTTTTCCTGAATTCCTGTTTTTTTTCTTTTCTTGATCATTTGGAAGGTTTTGACTATGTGGTAATTAGTTGCCGGACACTGTTGAGCACAAAGAACCTATTCCATAATTGGAAGCTATCTTCAATATAGAACTGCTTCAAATTAGAATGGAAAAGTAGGGGTTAAATTCATTCTAATTTTGTTTTAATGAACTGCCAACTGACAACAATTTCATCTTCAAGTGTAAATGATCTTTAAATTCAGATAAACATTAGTTGTTGAATAGTAGATGAATAAGGATGATGGTGATGATGTTGATATCCCTAAGAATAGCTGCATGTTTAACACGGTAATCTGGCTCGCCTATTGTGATGACGGAATCAAGCTATCATGGTCAGAATATCTATTTCTTCAGGTCCTACCATACTAGTTAGGTCAGCTGAAGAATAATAAGACTGAAGGCTGCAACTCGAAATCTTAGAGCAAAGTCATACCGCTATCTGTATGGAGGTGTAATGGTAGTAAGGTATTACTCTCAGACAATTATAATTTGCAGTCATGCTGACTTCCAACAACAAGAGTAATTGGTTATAAAGATCGGGAAGAAAACTATCACACTTTACCTTATCCTATAGGCTTTTGTTTTCTGGAGTAATGCCCTTAACGTACAGCGTTAACACATCAAGATCTGTCCACAAAAAGTCATTCATGAGTGACCTCAAATAAATGTTCCTTGAGGTCTACAGTTACATTCCCAAATTGACATGACCATCTTCAATCTAGTTTCTTCTTCAGATCTCTCAAAAAGCAGCCTCCTTTCTCAGTGTGTCCAACTGGGAAGTGACAGCTCCCCTCATGCATTTTAAATTACTCGAGATGTTCATAACAATGGGATAAATGAAAAGTATATAGAGTGACACTGATCGAAAAAACAATAAGCAAGTTGGATTAAATCGATTATTTATAGGAGTTTGTATTATTTAATCAGTCTACCTATTGAGAACTGAAACTAATCAATCTCTATTGTCATCTTGAGTGAATTACTTCAATATCATAGTTTGATCACATGATTATTTTTAGTTAGATTGAATTTCAGCTAACAACGCAATTCAAGAGGCCACATTTTACCGTATAAAAGACTTGTTAGGTACATCTAGATGTGACAAGTAACAATTAAGAAGATATACATATATATTGTGTACTCTACTCTTAGTAACAATTTAATGTTACTAAACCAGCTATTCACTATGTGTTATTTACTTGTATCTCCCCATTGTTATTTAGGACTGTAATTGATCAATCTCTCCTATTGACATATGTGCATCCTGTGCAGACTGCCCCGATATAGACTTAAGTCACAAGCATTATAAGCAAAGATGGATAGTGGCTAGCAGTGGAATCCAAGACGCATGTTTCTTCCTATTCAACTCTGAGATGCAAGCACATCCAGCTAACGAGTCCCAAAAAGGACGAAACGCGCGTCCTAGATTCCACTGCTAGCCACTACCCATCTTTGCTTATAAACTAACTATCTTTAGAATCTGATTTTTCTATAACAACTTACCGGTTCACATTCAAGTAGAGATCATATCCGGTTAATCAATCAATCAGTTTATTACAAACTCATTCATTCATTCATACACATAAAGTTGTTAGAAGAATCCAAATTAATCAGTTTACATCGTAAGGATTTATCAGTCAAAAGAAACAACATAAAATTACATCACTTACTTTCCTTGTTGTGGTATTTGATAAATTCTGTAGTCGTTGTGACATATTGTTTAAACTTTGTTCAAAAGCTGAGACAACATGAGCCTAGAATAGAATGAAATAATTATTTAAATAAATAAATTGATGTTTTAATTGAATCACACTTAAGTTGATAGTTGTCAACGGAGTTGAAGTGAAGATACACAAAGAGATGAAGGGCAGTGACAGAAAGAAATATGATGTCATAGGTAATAAATTCACAATGTATGGCTGAAGCTTATTGATTGATACATATCAGTTTCATGCTTCTCTATTGGTTTTAATAATAAAAGGATGATCATTAATCGCATAAACGTTTTTCGGTCTCTATGATTGATTACATTGGCTACCTTATAAGCTCTACTCATATACACATTACTTATTCAGGAATAACAGTCGTTAATAATTAAACCAAAAGACGTACTTCATATTCTCAAATTCTCATATATTTGATGTATAGCTAGCATTGAGTATAGAAACAAAAGATATTGGGTTGAAGTGTCAGTGCGAACATCAACAATGAGATGTAGCAACAGGTACATTCAGTCGATAAGTTCCGAATAGGAAGAGATGAGGATCCTGTAATACACTGTTAGACACTTACGAGCTCCAAAAAAACTTGTAATGTAATGCGATATTAAGTCAGTCTAATCATCCCTAAACAGCAAAATTACACACCTTTACTAATGCACTTTTTTATATAGAACAGTACATGTCAAAGTTTGATCGACTTAAAATGGAATGATAAAAGTTATCAGTTAAATTATTTGTAGACAAATAGACTATTCACTTGGTGTTGTTTCACTTGTTTATTTCCATTGTTATTTAAGACTGTAGTTCGATCAGTCTCTTGTTGGCATATGTAAATCCTGTGCGTATTGCCTCAATATAGCTTTAAGTCACAAGCATTATAAACAAAGATGGATAGTGGTTAGCGGTGGAATCCAGGATGCGCGTTTCATTCTATTTCGAAATCGTCAGCTGGATGTATCTGCATCCGAGAGTTGCACATATGCCAACAAAAGACTGATCAGTTGCAGTACTAAATAACAATGGGAAGATACAAGTAAAACAACAACAAATGAATTTAAATTTCAACCCATGACAGAAGCAGATGGTTACCAGGACTCAGTAGCTAAGTGGATAACGCGATAGCGCTTGAAGCGAACGATACTGGGTTGTAGTCCTGGAGGGAACATCAACTCTAGGTTGCAGGTACGTCCAGCTGACGAGTCCCACATGGAAGGAATGCGCTAGCCATTATCCACTTTTGCTTACAAATAGATAATGTTAATTCGAATGAAAAAATCAAGTAGATTGTTGTTTTTTTCTTTCAAATGAGATACATATTCATTAAGTGAATTTCTTCTAACATTTCTTAAAAAAGTATGAAGATTATATATATTTATATATCAGTTTAGGGCTATGGAGATTGTTGAGTTCCACTGAACTCATGAACCGATCAATGTTAGATCAGTATTGAAAACCTGGAATCTCTAGATAGTCGTTTCATCATAGCACGCAATCTCCTCACCAAAGGGAATATAAAACCATGATCTTTAAGTCCAGCACGCGAACGCTTAACTTTTAGACAACTCATCCGGCATGTATTGGTTTTTATGTCTAACTTCAATTAATGCATCATCTTGCACAACCCTTAATCTATTGTCTGAGATGTATATCTATCTTATATCCGACTTCTCATTAGAACCCCAGGAGTTACATCTCAGAGCTAGTCATCAGTGAATATATGATAATTATCAGTATAAGGTTGTAAGGATTGTTGAGTTTCACTGAAACCATGAACTCATCTCTCTCTCTATGTATATATATAATGTACTCTCTTGTTCTGTTGTGTTGTCTATACTTTCACTATTTCTTTCTATCCAATACACACTGAATACCTCTCTTTCATTTTCTCTTTCACTTTCATACTTCTTTCGTGTATCATTTCTTTTAGCTTACTTCAAATGTCTGCTTTTTTTAATTATGTCTTTGGAAAAATGTAGGAAAAGGAAGAACTTTTTCACGTCACTGCAAGTCTTTTTCATTGAAAAAAAAGAGAAAAGAAGAAAAGAAAAAAGAAAACTGTCACTGTATAGTTGAATGTATGTTTCAGTGGTTAAATTTAATTAAATAACATTTGTTTAATACAATAAGGTTAGTGTTGTATTTTTAGGGGAGACAAATGTTCATCTTTAGCGGGTTTTTTTCTTAGACACATGGAATCTTCAAGGCCAAACGAGAAGAGGATGACCAAAGAAGTACACATTACGCCGAGAAATGAAGATAGACATGAGAAAAATGAATAACAATTGGATAGAACTAGAAAAGAAGGCTCAGGACAGAGTAGGATGGAGAATGATGGTTGGAGGCCTATGCTCCATTAGGAGTAATGGGAGTAAGTAAGTAAGTAATGTTCATCTTGTATATATAAGTAAGCTATAGATTGTATTCGCCACTGATTGATCTTACTTAAGGTATCATTTTGAATGTCAGTAAGAAACGGACAGATATTTCGCACTAGAATAAGACCTTTGTCCATTGATTAGCTACCATATGACCAGAGAAAAACCACAAGGCAGTAAGGTCTTGTGGAGAGCGCCTCATCATTATAAACAATGTGTCAGTCTCTAATGGTATAATTCCGATGTCAGTCAGTTTATGGTATAGCGCGATGACTATTCAATTCCAACGGTGACAGATATTTTACTCGAAATATATTTGAACTCCATCGGATAGGATTTCTTACTTTAACTTTAGAAACACATCAAAGTATAGGTTACTAACCGGCTGACTGGTATAATTGACCAGTATAGGATTTAAAGATCTAGAGATTAAACATTCACACACGAAACCGAATGTCCTGAGTTTGTTTTTTGCGTACGGAATAATGAATGTCCATTGCAGAGAAGTTCCGTGCTAAGGGAAAGCGGTTGATTTGCAATATATTGATCTTTTTTTTGAGATCTCGTCAATTATTCACTGACACATAACATTAAGGCATGATTATCAAACGTACTGATTGCCAGCTATATCAATCTCAACAACATCAAATTGACCTTAATCATTCACTTCTTAAAACAATCTACAATAAATCTGTCATTTAAGAAAACGTAGTTCCGTAATTTTTTTCGATTACCCTGAGAACATCAAACAAAGGCGAGGCTCATTGTTATCAGTCAATTCGGTAATGGCTTAAGGACAATGAACCTTTTGTCATTTTAATGACTGTGCGTTGTTCAAAATAATATCAGATACATACTGGGAATCATTTGAATAAATATGTCTGCTGAATATAAACTTGACGCTATATATGTATATCACATCTCATGTTAAGATGACCAGTAAGGCAATGAATAGGAATAAAAGTAATGAGAAATCATGGTTGAACATTTAAAGTACCGTTTACTCAACTGATTACATACCACACGGTTGGAAGAGATGAAGTCAAGGGTGGTGAAAAGTAAAAGAATGTGTTTGACATACGATTTCGTTTTAGTTTAGCGATGTTAACATATTGGTCATTACTATTAGAATGGGGATTTGTGGAGGTTAAAGTGATTTTAATAGTTGAATTCATGAGTCTATCTAAGCTGGAACACCATTGAAAATCTGGAAGCAACGGATGGTCGTTTCATCGTGGTATGTTGAATGCCAACTCAATGTTCTACAAGTCAAGCGTTCACGCTTGAGACCGAAGGTCCTGGGTTCAAGTCCTACATGTAGGATCGCGGGTGCTTACAGCTGATGAGTCACATACTAAGACGAAACGGACGTCCAGTGCTTTCAGGTTGGCAGTTTCGTTCTACTGTGAGACTCCTCAGCAGTGCGCATCCACGATCCCGCCTCGCCAGAATCAAACCCATTACCTTTTTTTATACAATAATTGAACCGATCCTAACTATGACTAACTATGGCTCAAAATAATAGTCAGTTAAAAGATGAAGATTATCAGAACTATGTGATAATTATTAGAGCAATACATTTCGAACAATCTGATCACACATAATATACTTGTTAAGTATATTTATATATTAAAAATAAAAGGCCAACTAGACTAGAAATGAGAGGGTGTAGGTAAGAAGAGACAAGGATAATAAAGAAAATAATAATGTGAAAACAATTTGAAACCACATCACTCTGGATAATCAACAGTATGCATTTACAACCCTGCGTGCTGAGGAGTCCCATACTAGGACGAAACGTCTGTCTAGTCCTTCCAGGTTTTAAATGATGATCTAGTTTAAGTCGGTTCATGAATTTAATTATTAAAAATTAATTATTTATTACATATTGGGGACTAGTCTTGATCAACATAGAATCTGATACACGTTTGCCCAAATTCCCATATTCTATTGAAATGATATGATCAAATTAACTAGATAAATGATAAAAGAGTAAAAGTATTCATAGTGGAAAGGAATGAACGTTGAGAATCTAGTTTAAGAGAAATGAATAGAAAGGTATACATGAAAGAATTCTGAAATTCAAGATCTAAAAGAAGATAAAAAATAATGAATAGATTTGTTCCATTTTAATTAGTCCCAATCCAAATCATCTAACATCTCTAATCGTTAATCAAGATTCGTTTGATGACTTCAACCAGATAGGTTAGGTTATTCAATATGGTTCAGATCAAGTGTCAATGACTTTGTATAGTAATATCACATATTAGTTTGACTGTTCCCTATGTCTATTAATAAAATTAAACCCGTTTATTATTATGAACAGAAGTCGAATGATTAGGACAATATTTGTCATATAACTTGTTCCCTGTGTCCTATTAATTTATAATGTAGTGTTACTGTTAATTAGAGAATAGTGAATTATCGACCGGATCAATGACGCATAAAACCTGTATGAGCAGTCTAGAATCTTTATTGGTCCTGCTTTCTTCCTAGCCCTGCCCGTTGAGTCCAGAATACCAATCTCAGCCTTCATGATATCAGTCATGCATTTCAAACATACTGGGTTTATATACAAACCAAACAGACCACATTGTGCCATAAAATGGAAAAGAGCATTTGTACAAGATTCAGCCAAAAAAAGGCTGTGAATATGGG